TTGTATCAACAGCCTCCTAAATCTCATTATTTTTTTATTATTGGAAGAAATCCAGATCCTCAGAGATCAGATGCTTGCTTTGGAAAATTGCAATATTTATATTAGTATAATTATCTAACTATAGAATCATAAAACTTTTTTTGTACTTTCCTATACAGAAACTATAGTGTTTTTGTTTGGTTGGTTGTTTTTTTGTTTTTTCACAATAGAGACTTTATTATTACATCACTGTAAGAATTAATTTTTTGTGGATATATTTTTGCTGAAATGTTCTTCAAACAGCTGAGAAAGTAAATTATTACCTTTACAGCACAGTTCATCACTTAGGTCTCCACAGTCATTTATACCATCACAGGTTTTAGTCACAGAAATGCACTTGTCATTTGCACAATGGAACTCATGAGCTGAACATTCTGTGCAGTGAGATGAAAATGAAGTTAGTATAGAAATGACTGTAGGTTCACAACTGCCCAAGGAAACACTCAGCATACACGTTTTAGTCACTCAGTTTGACCTGTCAATAGTAGGCAACTTAAGGCCTAGTTAAGTAAATAGGAATCTTTTTTTTTTTTACTGTTTTCATTGCGTCCTCTTCAAACTTTCAATGTGACTATGTATTTTCTCCCTCCAACTTTCAGTGACCTGGCAAAAGAGAATTTTGTTTCTTCCAAACATGGACGAAAGCAGAAATGTTAGCTTGAGTTGATCTCCCAAAAGCAAGAACAAAGGAAGAAGTAGGAGGTTGTCATCTGTCTCCTCATCAGTTAACCTAGGAGAAACAAAAGTTGTGGGATGTAATATGCCTTGGAAGGGAAGGGGGAACAGCCAGAACCATGGGTGAAATTTGTCCACTTTTGGGTAGTATCTGTCAAGATATTCTAGGAGCAACAGTGCATTACTTTCCAAAATCATAAACTCAAGATTGCCTCAGTTGTCTTAAACGTTTGCAAAAGGATTATTTAAAAAAAAGATAAAAATTAAAGATTTCATTGCAGGTTTGTGCTGGCTGAGATTTCAGCAAAATAGATCCTAAGTTCATACATTTCAAATAAACTTAACGTGAACAGCTTTTAGTAGATTTAAAGCCAAAAAATCCCTACTAACCTCGGAGAGTTTTCTGGCACTGGAGGCTAACAAATCCCTCATTACTAGCTCTCAGTTTCTTCTTTATGTAACATTCAGCAAGACTTGTCTCTAGGCCTCTGCAAGTTATTTGGAAGCAGTGTGATGGTTCTGTGATGTTGTAGTCAGTGTGGTAATATTCAGCACCTCTGTAAAGATACAAATAACAGTAACAAATTCTGTAATTTCACAATGGATTGTCCTCTGCTTTTATTGTTTAGAATCTATATGATTTTCCCCAGTGTTAAGGAACTTTGCTGATGGCTAAAGAAGTTTAAAAAAAAACAGATTTCCCATGGAGTGTTATAAGGGTAAGGAGGAAAGTAGGAGATATTTACTGTGAAAGAAAAAGTTAAACAAAGTGCCAGTTTTTGCCAATTCCATCATAGAACTAGCACTGAATCTGTGCCACTTTCATCTCAGTTGCTGTGTATGGCAATAGATAGAAACCATCTTGCATGAGGTTGAGTACTGGTGGTGCCATCAAAACCAATGCATATTGAGGAAGCTCAGGCTACTGCAAGATTGGCATTCATTAATCATCTGAATGTAATCCTCTAACAGTGTGTCTCTCTTCTCTCTTAAGAAAATAAGGAATGAGTAAATAAATAACTGGAAAGACTTGCAATGGGAGTCAAGGGCTGAATGCTCTCTCCCAGAACAAACCTCTCTCTATGCTATCTAAAGAAGTATGAATCAGGGCTGGGAAATATTTAATCCTCATCTACAGGGGACAAATGTAGGCACTGTGATGGCATTCTCAGTCTCTGTTTGAGAGGCAGTCCTATGTGGCTCAGTCATGCTATTGTTTTAAATCATTATGTACAGGATATAGAGTTGACAGTTTATGATGACCTCACTGTGTAAATCAGGTCATTGGTATGGACTCGGAAAAAGAACAAGCTGTTTGTGGCCTCAGCTGTTTCTGGTGGGCAAGGCAAAAAATGGTGATGAAGGGTCAAGGGATGAAGGGAAAAAAAACTGTGTTCTGGTTCTTGTTAGTCTGGCTGCTGCAAGTAGCAAAACACAGCTGTACTGTTTAGTCAGCCAGTTTAAGAAAATTTTCCCCACGAGCAGTTCATTGATCACAGCCATTTGGGGATAAGCCATCTATGCACTTTCCCTTATACAGATTGAGAGAAAATTCATCTATCAGACTTCAACTTTATTTGTAAGTTGTGATTTGTGATTTGTAAGAAAATGCAGAAATCTGTTTTGGCTTTTGCTTACAGGAAGCTTTACTGTAGCCGATATATTGTTCATGGATTTTCTCTTCATAGTTGGCTGACTGACTGACCCTTATAGAAGCATCACTATTCGTTCACATCCATTGCAGTCACAGAGAGAGAAATTCCCCAAACTTACAATTCAAAGCCAAGGTGTCTGCAGGCCACGTTTGCTTCATTCATAGTCCACATACTGTCACATACAAAAAGGTCCTCGTTATTCACAGGTTTTACTTGAAGCAAATGTGAATCCTTATAGATCAAGGAGATTTTAAATGTTTCTAAAAATAAATAAATTAATAAATAAATTGCATACAAATTTTTATTCTATAGATGTATCTAGTGGAAAGACAGCACAGGAAGAAACCAGACCTAAAGTATGTTGTAGGTATCCAGAGTTCATATGGAATGAACAGCAGGTTGGGAATCAGAAGCTTGAGGTATTACTGCAGATTTTTTCTGAGAACTGATGTTACGGCTTTGAGCCTGATGCTTTTTAAAAATATACCAGCTTCAGAACAAACGAAGATAACAGTTCCTGCCCTGGAAGCATATTTGGAGGTCTTCTGAGGAAAGGTTGCATCTTAGTGTAAGACTTTTGTTAGAGCACTTTCAGTAATCAAACGAAGGACTGATACATTTTGAAAAAAAAAGATCATAGTACCTGTGGACATGCATTTTCCCTTGTTCAGAAACTTTGCTTCGGGACGTTGACACTCATAGCTTTTTAGGTGGCAGTAAGTATGAAACTGCTTTCCATTGGTAGAACAAACTGAAGTGCCATTCTTTGGACACTGGTAGGGAAGCTTACAGAGACATTTTCCCTCCACACATCGTTCCCATGGGTCACAAAAAACTTTCTTACAAGACTTGTGTGTGTATTTGTTGCTTAAACAGTCTTCTAGGAGGTAAATGGCTCGCTCAGCTGGCTGACTGTCTTGCTCAAGTTCTTCTGTATCATTAGATGCTGCATTCTGCAAGACACAAATTAAAAAAAAACAAAAGCAACCCAAAACCAAATATTGAACAAGACTAGAGATTGCACTAGCAGTTCTGCAGATCCCCTGTATACCTCAGCAAAGTGATTGTGAGCCTTTTCCTATCTTGTAAGAATGGAAGTGCTAAATATCTGTAGTGTTTTTCCCCTTGTCTTTGAGATACCCACCTTTCTGTTTTTCTGGATTTTTTTTCTTTTTCAGATCATTCCCCTGGTATGATTTTCACTATTACTGGTCACTCACAAACTATACTCTTCAAAAATCAGCTGAAGTGTGCAACAGAAGATGATAAACATTTCAAGCCAGTGGTTTATAGCACACCACAACAATGGAACCGTAAGCAAATTAAAATATAAGGGGACTTAACAGAATCACACAGAATGGCCAGGGTTGGAAGGGACCTCAAGGATGATGAATCTCCAACCTCCCACCTCCCCACCCCCCCCCCCCCAGGCAGGGCCACCAACCTCCACATTTAATACTAGACCAGGGTGCTCAGGGCTCCTTCTAAGAAGAAAAATAAAATTTAAAAAAAAAGAAAAGTAGGAACTTGATTTTTTTCAAGACCTTTTCATTGTCTCAGTTGACTTTAACTATAGCCAGTAACTACTTAGAAACAAATAAATCTAAAATTAATGATTTGCTTCATTGCAAGTAACACATATAAGTATCTTCAACAAAAGTTAAAATTAAATTCCCCTCCGAGTCCATTTTGTTCCCGTATCTTTGATGGCAGTGGGTTTGCAGTGTGGTTTCTGGTTGTTACAGACTGCAAGAAGTGCTCCTGATCCTTCCATCCGACTGTCTGTCTCTAGGTAAGTGGTAACACCTATCCCTGCAGCTCTCTGCTTATTCTGTTGCTGGCTGAGTGCTTTTGTTCACTAAGATTTGAGGGTAAGGGGAATGTTGAAACGTGAAAAATATGTAGCTAGACTTAGAATAAAGATGAAAAAGAAATGTCAGTTGTCAGATGAGATTTATCAGCTTTGAGTGCATCCACTGAATCAACAGAGCCAAAGTTTAAAGTTCTCATGAAGAAATCCTGGCCTAAGTAAAGGCAGTGGGAATGTTGCCGGGACAGAATTTAATCCGAGCCCCTCCCACCCTTTTAAGGGCTGTATAATCTTAATAAATTCTTCCTGTTCTTCTCAGGTCAGTAGAATCCTATGCATTATCTTTAAATTTACATACCAGACTCTGAGCCAGACCCTGCTTGGCTTAACTCCCATATTGCACTAGTTGTTTCTCCTCAGTTTTGACTGAGTAGCAACAGAAGGTGCTGATCTTTATCTACGGGTTTTTCTGAAAAGCTCAGAGTTTGCTGAACAAGGAGCCCATCAGAACTTCCTGAGAGGCTTTTGCCAGAAGGGATTTTATAACAAAAGCTTTCTGAGCTGAGCCACACTTGCAAGTTGGGTTTAGCATAGGATCCCGATTAAAAGATTTTCCAGAAGCTTGTTACTGTAAACCTCAGATAGAACCAATATATGGAGGAGAAACAGCAAGATTCAAATTCTCAAACTGGACTAAAACGTACGAAATGCAAATGCTACAAAAGGAAATAATTAAAGAAAATCTATCTTTCTGTTTTTATAATAATAAACTGTTTTAACTGTTCAGTTTTGTTTGTTTGTTTGTTTCTAAATAAGCGGATACCACAAACGGGACAAACAATCAGTTCTTACCTTTGCTCGACAGAAAGAAAAGAAAGAGAAGCAAACCAAGAAAACCGCAACCACTCTCATGATGAAGTTTTATCTCTTTGTAGAGAAATTCCCCTGGCTGGGATTTTCCCAATAGCCAGTTGTTAGGTTTGTGTTTAATTTTTAACCATTGGTAAAACACTTTGAAGTGGACTCAGAAACAATTACAGGAGCCTGAGATATTAACGGATGAGTCTGATATCTCCACACGGATCCCACCCCATTTAACCTGTTATGCTGTACATAGAGACCCAAAGGAAAGCCCTTGAAGCCAGCGATTACAAGGCAGTGCTCGGCAGGGTCTCGCTCCCCTGCTGTTTCCAAAGCAGACCGACCGAGCGGCGGGGCCGACTTCCTGGCAGCAGGCAGCCGGCTCTGCAGGGCGCTGTCAGGGGAGATGTGTTTTTAGGTGAGATACGTCTGCCTCCGTGCAGGCAGGCAGACAGACAGACAAACGGAAACAGCAACGCTACTATCTCCGTGCGAGAGTGCAACCAGCCGACATTTGCTCACACAACTGCTGGGGCAGCGGGCGGTTTCCAGGAAAACCGCGGTCTCGCCGGTACCACGGATCTCCAGCCCCTGCGAAGGCCCTTTTGCGACAGTGCCGCTAGGCGCTTGCTTCTCCTTTACGGCAGGATGGCTGCTTTTCCGGCGCGTGACGATGAGGTCATCAGGCGGCGCTTGTATGGATGCTAGGTACGCACGTGTGCGGGGCTAGGGTTTACGGTGCGGGTTGGGGCGTGCGCGGGCGTCGTTAGGGCCGTTAAAGCCGTTGGTCTGCCTTCAGGGTCCGGCGCCGCTTCCAGGGAGGCCGTCCTTTGGGAAGCTGGCGGTCCGGCGCCTCTCCGTGGGCCGCGGAGTATGATGCTCGACCCTGATATGCCCCGTTCCTCATGATGGATAGGCATTGCCGTAGAATTGTTAAGGTTGGAAAAGACCTCTGAGATCATCTAGTCTCACCTTGCTCACTAGCCGAGTCCCTCAGTACCACTTCCGCACGGTTCTTCAGCTTCTGCGGGGACGGTGACCGCCACCTTCCTGGGCAGCCCGTGCCAGTGCCCGACCACTCTCAGAGAAGAAACTTTTCCTAAAATAGGTGGTGTTTAATGGGGGAACTTGATTATGGCTTGCCTGCATGTTTTTGGTCGGGGCTGAGGTGGGTAACCATTAAACAGGACCATCGGGAGACCTTGATTCAAGCAACATGTTAACAAATACGTACTTCTTAAACCGATTTTTTGTCTACAATGTAGGAGGCAGTAGAGAATGTCTTTTCGTGGAAGAGGAGGTGGTGGCGGAGGACGAGGAGGTGGAGGAGGAGGAAGAGGAGGAGGCAGCTTTAATCGTGGAGGAAGTGGTGGTGACAGAGGTGGCTTTAATCGTGGTGGGCGAGGTGGCTTTGGACGGGGAGGTGGACGAGGAGGCTTCAACAGAGGCGGATATGACCAGGGCCCTCCAGAGAGGGTAGTTTGTAAGTTATATGCAGAGGCTGTAATCATGTAACTTGCAGTGAGTGTTTAAGATATTCAGTTTGTTTGTTCTTTATTTCAGTACTGGGAGAGTTCATGCATCCGTGTGAAGATGATCTTGTTTGTAAATGTAAAACAGAAGAAAACAAAGTTCCTTATTTCAATGCACCAGTGTACTTGGATAATAAGGAACAGATTGGCAAAGTGGATGAAATTTTTGGGCAGCTACGAGACTTTGTATCCTTCACAAATCCTGTTGGCTTCTTCAGTGGGTTTGCTCTAAAATATGAAAATATTTAATTTCCTTATTCTACTTCATATGCTTAAAACAGGTTTAGAACACCCTTCTGATCTGAATTTATTAATTTGCAGATTTACTTTTTTCATCAGTATTACTCAAAGTTCAGAAACTTTTTTCTTCTTACAATAACAACCAAGAAATATAAAGGGAGCTCAAGTGTAGTTTGCGGTTCCTTAGCTCCCTGTTTAATCTTGAGTACTGTTGAACAGTCAGCCAGCAGCTTACCATCCTTGCACAACCATCCTTGCACACTTGAGAACCACAGGATCCATAGTAGTTTGTGGAGTTACAGAGAGCATCCACCGTGTTGCTGTAAGTTGAAAGAAAGCTTGTGGTTGGGTTGAGCAGCCCCTGCTGGCCTGTTTCTTTCCACAGCTAGGCAGATGTACAGGCCAGGACAGTCATAGCAAAGCTACTGTAGAATCCACATTGTTCTGGATAAGTCTGAGAGACAATCACTTGTCAAACAAGTTTGTTTCTTTATGGTTACATTTTTATGTATTCTTTTCTGCTGGTATGTTTATGCCTCAATATGTGGGAAGGAAAAAGTAATGTTTGCATGAAATGTTGTCTTTGTAACTACGAGGAAAATTAGAAACAGTTATTCCTGATCATTAAGTTGTAGTTTTTCATTTGTAGTGATGATGTTTAGCTTCATTTATGGAATATGAATTTAGAAAATGTCTGAAGTGTGTAGATTCTTCCATGTGATCAATCAAATGTGATACTTCTCATTTTTATTCCTGGTGTGTTCCTTAAAGCTAACAGTATTTTTCAGTGAAACTGTCTGAGAACATGAAAGCCTCTTCATTCAAAAAAATGCAAAAGGTTAGCTGATCTCAATAACAGAATTATGTGTTATCAGTTAGATATGTAATCAAATAGATAATAAAAGCTTTATTAAGAGATTTTACTGACTTTAAAAGCTAGCTGTCCTTTGAAAATGTGTTTGTTTACTCATCCTTTTCACTTTTACATCTGCTATGCACTTCCCTCTCCTAAATAACAAAAAAAGTGAATGAAACTTAATAAATATGTATATCATATGTATTTTAATAACTTCATAACACTGATTTATTTTGCATATGATTTTTTTTACTTGGCTTTTTGCAAAAGGCAATTTGACATAATGAGTTAAGACGAAATTGTGACTGTTTGTTAAGGATTTAACCTGGGTTTTCTCAAAGCCTAATAGAACTTTCTTCCTACAGTTTTACATTGATCCAGCAAAGCTGCTACCCCTTCAGAGATTTTTACCAAGGCCTCCTGGAGAAAAAGGTGCTCCTCGAGGAGGTGGTAGAGGAGGACGTGGTGGAGGACGTGGAGGAGGAAGGGGTGGTGGTAGAGGTAAGATCCCAAGAACGAAAATTGCGGGAAAGGTTATTTCATTTCTTTGTTTTTGGTGAACTTACCATTACATACTTGAATAAACACTTCTATTGCAAAGAAGATAGGCACTTCATAGTTTGATAATTCAGTTTATGTTTGATAACTCAGTGGAAGAGACAGTGATACCTTTCCAAGGCAAGAGCTAGTTTCTGTAATGCAGAAAAGGGAGTACGCTGATCTGTAACCAAGACAGGAAGCATAACTATTAACCACTTTGTGGTAAAAGATAGTGGATAATACCCATTCAAAACAATGAAAGCAGTATTTTTACTGTGTTCTAAAAGGTAGTTTGGACAAAATACTTGAAATGCGATGTTTGGGAGAGGGGGTAACTGATATAGTAGATCTCATCCTTTACTTTTTAAGCACAGTCTATGATGTACTCAGTTACAGTAGAATTCTCACCACTCTGCCACCTTGTGTGCAAGAAGGCACAAGTATGTAAAGTTTTTTCTTTTATTGTTTTGAAGATTTCATATGTAATAATTGTGGTTAACATTTTTAATGACAGCTAAAAATTATCTTGAAGTTTTATTAATGCATTAGTGTTTTAGACATTGGATACTAGATATTCAGCACCACCTAAAATGCTGCAGATGGTCCTCAGAAGAAAGAGGGTACTAGGATGAAGCAATTGGCTCTTTCTGATTTGGTTTGGATTTCCTAACTGTCAATTAAAGCTGTTGTTATGTATAACAAAATTTACATGCTCCAGAAAGTGTAACTTGTTTCCTACATTCAGGAGGATTTGGAGGAGGAAGAGGTGGAGGAAGAGGAGGAGGAGGATTTAGAGGTGGAGGAAGAGGAGGAGGAGGATTCAGAGGAGGAAGAGGTGGTGGAGGAGGTTTTAGAGGTGAGTGTGCAGATGTATTTTTTCCATAATAAGAATGGCTCTGTTTCTAAACTTTTAAGTATTAAACAGAATGCTGTATTTTCTTTTCCTCTCGTATGGGTGTTCATAGTTTTATGTAAAAACTTGATGTGCTTCACACTAACTCATTTAAACCAAAGTTCAGTGTTTTCTGGTTTTTGATGCTTTGTAAAGACCGTGCTAGTTTCTACATGAAAAGGGACTATAAGAACAGACAGCAATGATAAATTATTTTATCAATTCATGCAGTTTTATATCTATAATTTATTTACTGAAACAGCATCTAAGATAATTTGAATTAAGTATCTATGATAATGAATTAAGTGACCTTTTTCCCTCTTAAACTAGGGAGAGGACATTAAAAATGGAACAATGAGAATCTTCCTGCTGACTTACCACGTTACCTGCAGAAGTGAAGAGCAAGAAAAAAAGTTATAAAAGACCATGAAAAAGTTGTTTGTAAAGAACTGGAAGCTATGAAATGACGGTTAACAACTGTCAACAACCGTGGACAAAGTGTGTAGCCCTTGGCGAAGAATGAAAGACTGCTCACAACATACTTGAACTTTTTAAACTAAGACAGAATTCAATGTTATTCTTAAATTGTTTGTTTCTGGCAAATGACTTAGTCAGTGCTTGACTTCATGTTGGAGTCTGGAGTAAACAATCAACTGAAACTTTTTTTTTTTAAGAAAAGCCCCCTTGGGTTCACTGCATGCACATCTGTCAGTATGAACTTGTAACCTCTGTGTGACTTGGATAAGAGCCCTTGTTCTCATTGTTTTATATGGAGTCTTTTGGGTCACTCTAAAAAGGAGATGTGATTTAAATAACCATTATGGACCATTTTTTACAAACTAAACTTCAGACTGTTTTTTTGTCGTTAGAACTTTTTTAATGCGTAAAAACAAATATGAGGAAAGGAAGATAGCAAATAATATTTTGTACATTTTTCTCTCTGAATCTTAATGAAAGCAAAGGCATAAAGATACACTCTTAGAAGATATTATCTGATGAGTAATACAGAGTTAATTCTATTCATAGGTCACCTAATTGTATCTAATTTCACTGATAATAAAGTTGCTAAGAGTTTTTAACTGCTCCCCTCTTCCTCTTAGCCAGTTTCTCTTGAGGTTTTGATGTCCTGGCAGATCACCTCTGTTGTGCTCTGAGCTTGCTAAAATGAAATAACTCATTGTTGTGGAAATGCTGAATTATGGCCTGAACCAGTGATTGAGCACCTGGTGGGAAGGCAGGGTCAACCCAGGGGAGCTGAGGTGCATGCAGAAGGGCCAGAAGGGATGGAGCCAGGATCCACCCCTTCCCTGACCTCATTTAAGGATTGGCAGTGGAGGTGTGGGTATCTTGGTGGAGATACCTGCCTCCCTGAGGCCTTCTAAAGGTAAGTGGCTTTTTTCCTTAGTTTCTTTGTCCACGGCTGCTGCATTTGGTCTTGTCCTCATTTGCTGTAGCCAACAACTTTGCTATCCAGCTGTTATCGTTGTACTTTTCATCACAGCACAGCATTACACCCATCATAGAGCTCCTCTGCATGTGGTCCTTTCAGTTTAGTGTTGCTTTAAAAATAAGTGGGAAATTCTGCATGAATACATTCCCAGTCTCTTAAATCGGATTTATTATGAGGGCTGTTGAAAAACTAGTGTCTCTTAAAGCACAGAGAATCACCTTGTCATCTATATTCAGCTTTGGAAATTGAGTAAGAATAGGAAAGAATCTGTCTCATTTCATCAGGAGCAGGGAGTCTATTGGCAGATCTCATACCAAGCATTTTTGAGAACAGATCTGTAGATTAATTGACATGAAAATTCTGAGCATCATGTTTGACGTGGGTGGGAAATATATTTCAGAACTGATCATGCTGTTGTACTTTTAATGACCATGATTGCTGGATCCGTTAGGCTTGTGCTTACCAAAAGAAATAGGTAATTTGTCAGTGCTAAAACTGGACAAACTACTAGACACAAACAAACACAACTCTTACTTCTGAATTATTTCTGAAACAAAGGTTGAGCAAGCTAGCAAGAAAACTTCAAGAACTCAGTTGCCTAGTCTGAACACCTGCTCTATATAGGACAGCAGTTACAAAGTGTTTAGAAGAAACATCCAATTTTCTATTAGATCTGCTTTTGTGAGAAGAAACCAAGTCTATTCGACCACAACACCATCAGGAATTATGGAATAGCAGTTATTTTGTTGGTGTTACTATCCATTTAACTTTAATTAGGTCAATTAAATGTGGACCTTTAAAAGTATTTGGTCTTTTGTTACTATGTATTACAAGGTCTATGGAGGTAGGGCTCTGACTTGAGATATTGTAGAATTGTAGCCGTTGTAAGCTGTCTCTGTCATACCACATTGCAACTGTATCACCAGTGCTTCAAAACCATGTTTTAAATGCGTTCTCTGCAATAGTTGCATTCTTCACCAATGCTTCTGTGCCTAGTTGTGGACAGCTGACTTAGATCTTTCTTTATTCTTCTGGCTTTGGAAGACTGGGAAAATGCAATCCTCATTCTTACACCCAAATTTGTGCTCCGTGCTGCTGTTCTTGCTGCATGCTTTAGAGATGCACTTTCTCCAAGGGAATCAAAAGGCTGGCTATCTGGATGTTACCTTTCAATTGCACTGACGTGGCAACTGACAAAATGCCATCTTGCAGCCTAGAACAAGAAGTGAATAATTTGAATCTTACAGCAGGTGGAGTCGTGAGTCATACTCAAGTCTGAAGCCACTGAAAGGCAAAAGCCTTGCACTTTTGTACTGGTGCAGTTACTTTCAGTTTGGCAAAGTGATGTCTTGGCAATAAATGGTATATTGAGAAAATGAAGGTTAGTATGTGAAACAGGGCAATGATTTGGAGGCCCCTTATCAGGGCATCTTGTTAGTCACCTGGAGGTCTCTTTACAGAATCAAACTTTTTTTAAATAGCAGTTTAAATCTAGAGACTGGGTGTGTGAGAAATTAATAATTTATTAATTTGTCTGCCTTTGGTTTTGAACCATTTAAATGTTTGTGGAGTTAAGATTAAAGGGAAGTACTGCCCTATACAGCCCTCTAGTGTTGATGCACTTTATTGAATGTGGGAGGATTTTTTTTTTTTAAAAAAAGCAAGCAGTATTTCTACTTCTACCATGTGTGGATTGCAATATTTTTTAAAATATTTTACATATAAATATAACATTTACAACTTGCTAAACCAGGTAATAAATCTTGCGTTGCCCCATATCTGTATAGACACCTACAAATTGAAGGACTGACTCAAATATAAACTACACTATTTTTGTACTGATCAGAGCAGTCAAAAGGAAAAACTCCATAATTCAAGGGCATTTGTTATATCTTAATAGTGAATTAATTGCTTTGTATTTTGACTTTGTTTTACAAACTGCAGTTTTCTAGGGGAGAAGAAAAAAGAAGTACTTTTTTTGGAGATGTGCCTAGATTACTTAAGTTGTAGGAGCTGGGGGTGTTTAGATTGCAGAGGAAAAGGCTCTGGGGAGACCTCATTGCAGCTTTCCTGAACTTGTAGGGAGCTTAAAAGCAAGAGGGGGAGCAACTTTTTTCATGGTCCGATAGTGATAGGACAAGGGGGAATGACTTTAAATATAAGAGGGAAGATTTAGTTTAGGTGTTAGGAAGAAATTCTTTACTTAGAGGGCAGTGAGGTACTGGCAATGGGGCCCTGGGTAGCTGAGCTGGTGGGGTGGCAATCTTAACCAAGGCAGTAAGCATTGCAAGCTCTGACTTCTATGCAAGATACATGATTGGAGATGCTTATGAAAATATTGCCAAGGTTTCAGGGGAAGTAAGTAAAGATATCAAATTATCATTATGCTTTTATCTTTCAAGGTGGAATGATTAAATACTAGGAAAGTAGATTCATCACTGAACAGATAATTTTCCCTTTCAAATCCCTCCCACCCTGTTCCTGCCTAATCCTCTTTTGACAGGGAAAATGCCTCATTGATACAAGTGCCCTGCAAGCTAAAAGTGAGTGTAGTTCTATGCTAGTAAAATGTTTGCTGGTAGTGTTGTGATATATGATCTGTAACAGTGATGACTAATTGTCATGACTGCATAAGTTTTATACCAAAATTTACTCAACTATAGGTTGAAATGGATGAAAAGTAGAGGATGTCTATTTTAAAAAGCTGAGATTGGATGGGGAAAGCTCTGTGAGTGTTTAATGGGTTAGAGAAGAGAGTAGCTCTTCGGGTAAATGACCTTCCTATGGGATGGCTTTGTTCCTTAGTGCTGTTTGGGGCAGTAAATCCTTCCTGCTGCTCGCACACATGGTCTGAGCTGCCTGTGAGCTGCAAGAAGAATTTTTATATAGCTTTTATATATAGTATGGGTACAAATTGTTTGAAGGGGAAACAGTGGTAAAGGCCTTTGATTGTGTTGATGCTGCATGTAAACTCTTTGGGCAAAGGTTTGTTGCAGCTCGTATTTACACAGGATTTTGTAAAGGGCCTTTGTGATCTCCCTCTAGCATGCTGCTACCTCATAACTGAAGAAACAAAAGCTATATCACCTTTGAAAAATGCTCAATAATTTTCTGTTTAAGAAAACTTGCCCAAGCCTACCTGAGTAAGTCTGAGAGAAGGAGATTGTTCAGACTTTATGGCATGTTCAACACCCATTTTCTGCAGACCAGGAGATTTTAGAGATGTGACAATTTTCTGAATGTCAAGCTTCACTTCAGGAAATACTGGATTAGGTTGTTGTGTCTGCCATTGGTTTGAGTGTTTCAATTAAAGTAAGAATCTTGAAGAGGAAAAGGAAGTATTTAAAGGTTTGAAGGGGTGGATACAATCAAGGTATTTTAATGAAACCGACATTTGTGTTTGTGCTGTGGTTGTGTTTTCTGCGATGGTAGGAAGTAATTCCAAACCAGGCTGAAGGCCAACTAACCAGAGTCAACTTTCTCCTAAGGTTTCTCAGGCGTTGCACAAGAGATTTGAAGTAAAAAAAGTTTGGGGGCATGTGACTGTTAATCTCTTTAGCAGTAAGAATAAAGTTTGAACATCCTGTTGGAAATGTTCTTGGTTCTGTGTTGCTCTTTGTTTCAGTTAACAAGCTTTTCTCCTGCATAGATTGGGGATATAAACTTCTTTGCGCCCTGTCCAATTAGATCATGCTTGGAAGCTGTCAGCACTGATGGTGAGGCAACCCTCCCCTGCCTTTTTTTTTTTTTTTTTTTTTTTCAGTTGTTCAGTCTGCTGGATAATGAAAGAATTTTTCTGACGGGGTTTGGTAGTGTTTTGTCCTTTAGATGAATTACTGCAAGATATAGACGACAGTCTTGTGTGTCCAAAATGCATTGGAATAATTCAGCCAACTCCTCAGAAAGTGATGCTGAAGCTCATTCTGCCTTTACACAGACTGAGCACAACATAGTAGCAGCTTACTTAATAACAGCAGGTATGGGCATTGATCAACTGTTGCATAACTTTTTATAGCAGAACTGTAGATTGCATGCTTATTTTGTATAGTAACAGCAATGTGTTTCATTCTGACTTACAAGTGACCAATGGCTTTTCTCCAGAGTTTACCGACAAGTCAACAATCAGACTGAAGTGTGCAGAAACCTACATCTGCTCTCTGCTCTATATTTGAAGGCAGTGCTATGTGTTAAAAAATACATTTTGTTGATATGTAATTATAGAAGAGAGTAAGAATTAATTTCCGCCAGCTTGCAGAAGAGATAAAAATAGGGCATAGCTGTCACATCTTGCATTTTTCTGTGGTGTGCTTGAAGCTATCTTGAGATTTCTTTTGGGCCACATGTTCACAGTAATATATGTGTAGTCTGAGCATGTGAGCGGGTGTCTGATAGGGGGATGTAAGGGGAAGGGTTGGAATGTGACCGAGGAGGAGGGAGGAGCTGGTCATTTATCAGAGAAGAGCAGTCTCCACTTGCAGATGTATTTTTCACTGATGACCCATGTTAGAAAAAGCATGCTGCAAGGCTTGACATGTGCTTTCTGTGACTGCAATGGCCTTTGGCTTAACTTGAATGATATAGGTTTTGTTGTGGGTTTTTTTTGTTTGTTTGCTTTTTTAAATTTCTCATTATTGTAACTGTAAGTGTTGCAGAAATGTTTTTCTGAAGCATTGACTGCTGTAGCAATGGAATAACATCTTGTCCAAATACTGAAACCTGCTGTGTTTAGAAACATGCCTTCTATATTTCTGGTGTGGAAAATAAGATGAATTTATAAATTCATTCCTAGATTATTACGTCATTCCTAGATTATACCATACATTTTCTATGTTATTATTAGCTTTTCAAATACTTCAAAATGTTTACTTAGAGATATGAAATAGTCATTTTATTTAGCACATATGTCTGAAGTGGGGAATATCAAATCACTGATATAGAGGACATTTTGCATCAACATGAGTGCAAAGGCAATAGTTAATTTCAGATTTTTACTGAAATTGTTAGAATACACATAGATATGTGGGCCTGTTGAGCAGCTGTAGGGCTGGATGATGGTGAAGTACTGGAAGACCAAATCAACTCCGCAGTACCACCACGTCGTTTGCAAGTAACTTCATCTACTAGGTGCTGCTGATATGTGCAATGCTTTGTTATATTCTAATTGATGGTTTAAGCTGTATGTAACTGGTTGGTATTTTCAGATAGTTTGAGCACTGATGTTAAGAATCAAAGCTATCATGTATTATCCAGAATCAATTCAGCTTCTCAGAATGGGAGAGTCCAGTAAAAATCTGTCAGCTGTATGTTGGACTTTGCTTTCTTAGTAAAGTTTTTGACAGTAAGGTCTATAGCATGGTTCAAACTATGGTTGTTTAACTGCACCAAATAGCAACATCAAGAAGATTTAGTGTATGTTAATAAGCAGATATCTAGGAAATGCAATGAAGGTCAGATACAGTGTTCAACATTCTGTTCCTTTTTAGAAGGATTGAATGCTTTCTTCTTTCGTAAATAATTGCTTTGTTTTCTGAGGAAGGAAGCCATTATTAACTATTGCAGTCTACAGCGGCTCAACATTAATTTCAGTGATGACAGTGGTCCCCAACTCAGACTGCAGGAAGAAGCTTTATGGTTGTCTTTCACCTTGTAGTGGTGAAGTGCTCTGGGGTAATTTTAAATTGCTGACTGGAAAAGTAAATTCCATGTAATGCATGGACCTAACCTTCTCCTTCACTGTTTTTGATGCCACTACTCGTGTGTCCTGATTTTCTCTGTTAGGGCTTGTTTGCATTCCATCAACCCTTAGTTTTTGCTATTTCTCTGGGAAAAGGAAAAATAATAAATGATTTTGTTCTTGACCATGTCATATAAGAGCCTTTTATCCTCATATTGTCAAAATCACAAGGTGTAGTGAAAAATGTGGGAATAGCTGTCGAAGTCTAAGCTATTTCACAGACCAACTGGCAGCATCCATGTGCTTTTTCTGAATCAGATGAGCTTGTCCTAGCTGATGATACGAGGTTACTGAAGTCTTTGGCCCAGTCTACATTATCTATCCTCTAAGAAATGAGGTCTGGTTAACTGGTTCCTGGAGAAACTTCGCTTTTCTGTTTGACTTATAAATTCTCTCTTTCTGAGAATACCTGTTTATTGAGTCTATATATTTTTTTCCTTCTTTGTTCACGATTAATCCATCTTTTTTCTTGCATGTTACTCTCCAGAACGTTTTTTGGTCTCTATTATTAATTTGTTCTCGTACCTCTGAAATCTTTGATCAGTATAGGCTTGGCACTTTCAGTGCTTTCTTTCTTCCTTTTTTTTTCTTTTTTTTTTTTTCTTTATTATTGTTAAGTTTGGGCACTAAATATGTGTCTAGCAGGATCGTTCCCTTGCCCTGAAGGTAGGAGTTTACAGTTCTGTTGTATTTCTTACTTCATTCCAGGTAACTGTAAAATCATAGAATCACCAAGGTTGGAAAAGATCTCCAAAATCATCCAGTCCAACCAATACTACACCTGCTAAGCCACATCCCTCAACACAACATCTAAATGTTTCTTGAACACCTCCAGGGACTATGACTCCATCACCTCCCTGGGCAGCCTGTTTCCATACCTGACCACTGTCTCAGAGGATAAATTTTTCCTTATGTCCAACCTGAAATCTTTTAAAGCATGTCTCATAAGAAGCCTATACGGTTTTAGAAACCTGTGACTGACAATCTTCCTCTCCAATGTACTACCTACCAATGGGGCTGAGTAGGCTGGCATGGAAGCTGCTTCTTTTTGCTCACTTCACATCTGATCACCAGCTTCCCTCTTTTGTTTATTTTAGGGGCTCAAGGCATCACAGCATTGTTCCTAAAGTGTGTGAAATGTCATAGATGAGTGGTTGTAACTTCCAACATCACATTTAATGTTATTCTTATGTACTGTGCCTACCTGAGGAAAGACATGCTTGGTCTTTTGAAAAAAGAATAGGAAAGAGAAATAACTGAGAATTAATGAAGTCTTTTCTGCAGACCTTATTTCACTCCTGAGAGCAAAAGATGGATTTCACTGTGCTGGATTGCTTGTTGCTTGGTTTCCATTGAGCCTTATTATCTGTACTTGTTTGTATCTGCTGGGCCTTGTGACCATGGTATTAAGGATGTGAAGTTAATATCCTGTATAGAGCCCGATGTATTATTTCAGACTTTCTTGCTCTGTTTTCACCACAACACCTATTCACCAAAGTTCTTTATAGAATTATCCATACAGTACTGTAATGATGCAAATCGCAGTGTTCTGGTTCATAGGTGAAGTGTTTTAACAGGAAAAAAAATAAATAAATAAAAAAATTCCGAAGGGCATTTCCATGGATATTGCACTGTTCAGCTTTTACCAACGTAACATTCCACTGTGCTTGTAATCTAAGGTGCTCAAATTGTACAGATGTCTGTAAGTTTAGCAGTTGGATCAGTGGTATTGTAACAACTGTATGAGAGAAGGGAATTCATAAGCAGCTTACTAATTCCTGTTACTACTTACAGGGTTGGTTTATATTTTTTATTTATTGTATTTTTAAATTTATAATGGCTGTGTTTTCTTGAATGTTGCAATTCTCCATTTTGCTGATAAAGGGCTGTGATGCTTTCTCAGGTAAGGTGCAAACTGGTTGTACGGGAACTGCTGAATCGTGGCCTGATTGATCACCTGAGGTGAGCAATGAGTCAGCCATGGGAGCACAGGTGAAGGCAATTCACCTGTGCTGTCAGAAGGGGTGGAGCCTGGCTGCACCTCTCCTAGAGCCATTTAAGAGCTGGCTACCAGTGGGAAAGGATCTCTTCTGGAGATCCCTCCTCTGGAGTTTTGCATTGAGCCCAGGATGTGGGTAAGCTTTCTATCTGTTTTCTTTTTGTTATTATAATCTGCTTTGCCAAACTCTCTTGCTTATTTCATAATTATAACGTCTTTATATTCATTGACTATACACTGGTATTTTAACTTTATTAGCTCTTATGCCTGTAACTAATAGTGGGGTAGTAGAAATCTAGATGATGGTAGTTTGCTCTGAGTATTTCTGAGTCTGAAGAGAATAAAACCAGAAGAATAAAAAGAACCTATTTTGTGGGATTGCTATGTAAATTCATTGTAAGTGCCATGCAGTAGGGTTTGGCTCAGAGGAAGGAAGAGCAAGAAAAATGAGGATGTAGAGGTTTTAATATACATACCAGTACATACAGTTGGACAAAGCTTGCTGATACAGAGGGTCTTAAGGAGCAGTGTCCTGCACCGCTTTGAAGCTCCAAGAGAACTCTGAAGTCATTGGACGTGAAGACAGGACAGCATGCATGCTAGCTTTAGTCATAAGTCTTTTTCTTTCTCTATTACAACTCACCATTTCTGGTGTTGCCTCACAGTCCTCGGGCAGAGTTTGGACACCTTTGGTGCCATCTCTGTTGTATATTTCTGAAGAATAAAATGTAAAAGCACTTGTCATGTTGGGGATTTGGGGATGCCTGTGTTTAAGCTTCTGGGACACAGGGAGATTGAGCCCTGGAGACCTATCTCTGCAAAGAAAGCAGACAAAAATCCTGTGCCAGAGGAAAGAAACAGGGTAGGAGACATTCCCTCCCCAAAAGACCCACAATTACTCTGATTTGTGAGGTAGGAGCAAAATCAGTACATAGCTGGACTTTTTTGATATGATACTGACTGGAGCTTGTCAGATAAAGAAAACAGCTTTTGTGAGGCCAGCATGCCAGTAATGTGAGCCAGAAATGATGCTTGCAGAGAATTCAGGCCTTGCGAGTAGAGATTTGTAACCGGCTGGCATGGAGGTAGCAAAGACAATGCCTAGTTGCTCATGTTTCATATCCTTTTGCCTGGGAATAGTACTTAAATATACAGTGGAAACTTCCTTTCAGAAATGAAGAACTCGGGTTGTGGTAGAGACTTTCTACTACATTAAGTAAATCAATGTAAAAGCGCTGCTTTTTTGCTGGTCATCAGCCTGCATTCTTTTTGGCCATGGAAAACAGCCTTGTACTCTGTGGCTGAAGTATCTAAATTGCAATTCTCTATGCTTTTGGATGTCTGCTCTGCCTATCGCCACTGTACAGGAAGTCCTAGGTTTGATGAAACACCCCACTTTTGGCCTTTACTGAATCCAAGTAAGATGAATCTAATTACAAAAGGCTTTTTCTTTTTCAGGTGTTTTCTATTTGCAAAATTATGCTTGATTGAAATATAATTCTTGTTTAGGGCTTAAATATTAAAATAGACTGTGTATTCTTTTGCATAGGTATTACTATCTCATCTACAACTTTTTGTACAGTTTTTATTTTCTGTTTCCACAGGAGTGATAAGCATTTTCAGTAACATTGTTGTGTTAGGCATCTTTGTGAAGTACAAAGAGCTTCGGACAGCAACCAATGCAATTATTATCAACCTGGCTTTCACTGACATTGGTGTTAGTGGCATTGGCTACCCCATGTCTGCTGCTTCAGACCTGCACGGAAGCTGGAAGTTTGGATATACTGGATGCCAGGTATTGCAATTTAGGCAGGGAGAAAATTTTGAGCACCTAAGTGCAAGATAAGCAGTAAGTAGTAACTCTAATTGATATTGGCTCTCCTAAGAGAAAAGATGGAAATGCAAAATTTGACTCCAGACTTGGAGCTTATGCTCTGTAAAGGCCTTAATTTCTGCATGTAGATTCTGTTTTGAATCCTTTTCCAAACTTTAAATCGTAAGTTAGAATTCATTCAAATGTGACCTTATGTTTATCAACCGAAAATTTTATATTAGCTTTAAGAAGCAAAGTCTTAGGAAAGGAAATCTCCAAATGAAGGAAGTTATAGCAGTAGCACATGCTTGTCTGATGAGTCGTTTAGCAGTAAACAGACTTTGGATATGACTGCTGTTTTCATGATGAGCTTGACAAGCTTTTAATGAGTTTTGCCTAATGAATACATCTTCCTTAGGATAGAACGAAGGATATCCAAAGAGAAGGTCTGTGAGACTATTAAAGGGCACTATTAAAATTTTGGCTTAGTTTAAATAGCTACCTATCTTTAAAATTTAAGAATGACTTAACAAATTATACTTCTGTAGCAGATGAGGTGCCCTTTACTCACTGTGATGTTCTGTGATTGTTATTATTTTTTTTAACTCTTAGACAAACCACTAGGCTTAGCTCTCAGGAAAATGAACAGTAATGTGAAATTGTGTGCCAGAAATGTGGCTCAAGAAGAATGTTAACCCCAATATATATTTTGGGCTTATATATCATGGGTATTTATAATCTGGCATCACTTGCCTGAGTGCACAATTATTTCAAACTCAATGTTCTTGTCATTCTTTGGCTGAATGCTTCATTTTTGATATCTTTGCATCTAGATTGATTTATTGTAGGTTGAATTTGATGTGAAATCTCATTACCAGTAGTTGGGGAGTTCCTGAGATAATTTCAAATGCAACTCATGTCAACGCAAACCAAACAAATCCTGTCAACTGAGACAGATGAATGTCATGTGCCTCTGTTGTAGCTGTGGGTGGCATGTTGGTCTGGTATGGGGCTCTGAATTTTGGGGGTGCCAATGATAACACAACCCTTCTAGTCATCCTTCCCAGTCAGGCTGCCTATGGGATGACGGCACAGGTGCTTTTAGAGTGTGCTGGCACTGCATCATGTGTAGAAGTACTATCACCATGCCTTGTCAGATCCAACACCAAGTAAAAATGGGGACCAATGGAGAAAATCAGTGTACCATATCAGTGAAAAAATACGTAGCAGAAGGAAGAGTGATGATTCAGAACCACAGATTTGCTAAAGCCTTACATGGTTCTAATCTTTTAATGATGAATCAAATGTTCTTTGGGACTCTTTAATGTATTTTGAAAGTATGAATTGAAAAACCCCTCCCAGTCTTTGCCTTGGAATCTTAATTTTACTTATTGGCATATGTAGTGTTAGACTGTCTTTCTTAGGGATTCTGGTGTACAAATTGGCAGATTGCTTTTGAAATGTTTATTTTAAATGAACCATTGACAAATTGCCTGCACTGAATCAGTTCATGCAGCACCTTGCTTACACAAGAAAACACTGATTATAAGGTACCATATTGCCTTAGATTAATAATGCACATTTTTCCTCATGCATTTGAAAGATTTCTCAGAAAGGCCATGTTATCTGTTTTTTATAATTTCAGATCTATGCTGCCTTAAATATATTTTTTGGGATGGCGAGTATTGGTTTGCTCACTGTTGTTGCAGTTGACCGTTACCTGACGATCTGCAGGCCTGACATAGGTACTGTTTTGTTGAACATCCTTCACTGTTAGGCTTCTATGAACTAAGTGTCCAATTGTATTGTTTTCTTGTGAATGACCCCTTAATTAAAGAGCTAGGTAATTAAAGCATAGAATGTGGTACTGCAGTACATGACGAGCAATACAGTTTGCATGGATGGTACTGCTTGTGAACACGAGAATTTTAGAGGTAAGATGCTACTTGCTTTGTAAGTTGTATTTTCCTGGCAGTTTCCAGTCATTAGAAGGTCACATCCATATATTGAAGTGTACAGAATGCCTCAGCTGTGAGAGGTTTTGACCTCTGTCAAGTCTGCATTTGCTTCCAGCATTGAGTCAGCACTGTATTGAATATTTTTCACTCTTCTTTATTACAGCTGTACTGGAACAGTCAATTCCTCTTTGTTCTTTCTTTCTATGTGCATAGTAGGCCTTTTGGCATTGCATCAGGTCAGATCTTGTCTGTATGCTGTGAGTTGAAGTGGATGATGGAATTAATTTAAGTCTGGAAAGCTTAGATGTATTTCAGTGATAGGAAGCATGTATGCTGCAGTGTTTGGGAGTGTAGTTTTCTGAGAGGATCGTTATTAATGCCACGTAGGTTTGCTCTCACCTGCTTGTGGTTAAAATTCAATACTGGAAACAAGAAAAAAAGGCAACAATTTGTGAATATACGTGTTTTGTCACAGGAAGAAGAATGACTACACGTAACTATGCTGTTCTAATCCTGGCTGCATGGATCAATGCAGTCTTTTGGGCGTCCATGCCTACCGTAGGCTGGGCTGGCTATGCTCCAGATCCAACTGGAGCAACTTGCACAGTCAATTGGAGGAAAAATGATATGTAAGATTTCACCTCACCTTTTCTTTTAATTTGTTCTCTTATTGAAGGTTTAGATTATTTAATTTACCACAGAATGACAATAAATTCTTGAAGTATGAAGCCTAACATACAAAGATAATTTATTTAAATATATATATGTATTTTCTAGGGCAAGTCTAGATAAAATGTAGAAAATGTGCAATGCTTGAAAACTGTTCATTTAAAAAAAAAAGACAAAAACAAAACAACTCTGAACATGTTAATAAAAACTAAAGACTGAAGATTTTTTTCTAATTCTCTAGAATTTTATTTCAAATTTCATAGTCAAATTCTTCAATAACTCTTCATGGATGGATATTTCTAAGTTACTGTGTTTTGTTTTCTGTCTTATCAGGTCCTTTGTTTCCTACACAATGAGTGTAATTGCTGTTAATTTTGTTGTACCCTTAACAGTCATGTTTTACTGTTATTACAATGTTTCCCGGACAATGAAACAATACACCAGCAGTAACTGCCTGGAGAGCATCAGCATGGATTGGTCTGACCAAGTAGATGTAACAAAGGTATGGTAAATGAGGGTATGTTTCATTTTAAGCATGTTCTTTTGGGTTAGTTTTGAGAATGGAGGAACAATACAGCCACTTAAACTTTTCTATATCCTGCATTGCCTTTTTCCTTCTTTCTTACTAAATATTAACTGAAATTTAGCCTTAGTGAAATCTCTAGACTTGACTAGCATCACTAGATTCTTTATTCTTTCCAGACGAACAGCTGTTTTGAAGCCTGGGAACTATGTTCTTGTTTCTGCCCTCTGTCCTTGTATAGAAACATACCTCATCAGTGGCCTAGGAGGATTGTCTAAGACACTTTTACTCTTTGTGTCAGCAGAGTCTTTAGGTGCTCTGCCAGGTTCACTAGTGCAACTGGTCAGAAATGAATTAGTCATTAGCTCTGTTTTGCTCTCATGGACTGTAAATGAAAGTGCGTTTTCAAGCTTCCAAACTGTTTGCTTCTTCTGATCCCTTGTATTTTTTTTTCCTTTTG